ATCTGGAACGGGTACGTCGCCTGCAAGTTCCCTGGTGATTCGCCCTGAATCACCGGTTTTCCTTTTCCTGTTTCGCAATCCACACACTCCCTGATGTCCTCCTTCCAACGTGGTGTGATAGTGGTGTAAGACGTCTGATTGCACCGTTTCGGGAACTACCAATCTCATCAATCGGTCGCGATCATCTCCCGATCTCGGCGTGGGGGGCAGTAAAAGAGTAGATCCTGCTCATCTACCTCGTAGTCGGCCGCGATCTTGCCATACGATCTTGCTTCCGCTTGTGTGAGATCTGCGATCAAGCTGCTCAGATACTTCTTCATGCCGGCGATCCAGACTTCTTCCTCTTGGGCCTGCTTGATCCGATCGACCCGGATCTCCCGGATCAGATCCTTTTGCATGACACCCGCAGGTGATCTCGCTTGACCAGCTCGAGTGGTAACACCGCAGCAACTCGCACCACTGGATTCTCGGTCTTGGGAATCAAGATTCCGTCTAACCGGTTCAGGGTGACCCGATCCTGGTACCCGGGCATCTCCTGGACCTCGATTCCTCCTTGTAGTTGCAAAAGCGGCGTTCGCTAGACTGTCGGCACTTCCGTTTCAGTCCATCTTGACGTGCACCAACTCATGATCACTCCATATCCTCAGGCGATCGAGGGCTTTCCGTTTCAATACCGTCAAGGTGCTTTGCAGTCGATCTCGCCCCGTACTTGTCGGATCACTAAGTTGGAATCCCCGCAGACCACCAGGCGTCTGCGATCTAAGCTCTCTAGCATGTCGAGTCCCAGGATCAGGCCGTTATACTCGGCTTCGTTCACGGTAGGGCTCTCGAGATAACCTGATCTGGCCTTGACCACCTCCCATCCGGGCAGGCTCCACATGATCGCGCTGAACGCGCCCCCACCACGCTTAACTCGGAGGGGATCCGCCAAAGCTGATCACCCATAGTTCCTCGTCTCGATCTACGGTGGGTATCGGCAATCTTGGATCCGGCGTTTAGGTTCTTTCTGGGGAGCGATTTCGGTCAGAGCGTCGTCGATCTTCGCCCTCGGCGTGATGCTGGCAGCGATCGCCCCCGGTATCTCGTCCTCACCTTTCGTGCACTTCGTGATCTCGAGTGTCCATGGGGCCAGGAGGGCAGACCATTGTCCCAGGCGACCCTGTAATCCCGTCGACTTGAACAACCAGGCCAACGTAGAATGTCTCGTTAGGACCCGGATCGCGCGTCCTACTAGCAGATTGTAGTAAAGATCCAAGATCCTCGGCAATGCCAACACCTCCTTTTCGGTCACATTGTAATTCAACTCGTTC